AAGACTTAGAAATCTTTTGGTGGCCAGGTTTGTTTCAGAGCTATTCTTACTAGAGTCCCAAGGTACAATTGTACCTTCCACTGTGCTTATTCAAATGTTTTTGGTTTTTTGTACTACTTGAATCTGAAAAAAACCTTTCCTGATTTAATTAAATATGTCCCAATCCTTAGAAAAAAAAAAAAAAAACAAAAACCACCAACCAAAAAAACAAAAAGAAACCAAACTCAAACGTACCAAACTAAACAAAACTGCAAAAATTATTTTACTCAAATTCTACCTTCAAGACACACATCTTCATCCGCTTGGTATTTCTACTGTCACCCAATCTCTATTTTTCTAACACACAGAATAGTCTACAAATCTATAAAAAATTAGTTGAAATTAGTTGAAAGACTCAGATGGAATGTTCTGATTTGGGGAGATTTGGAGCTGTTGCATGACACTTGGAACAACAGAAGTATATATTTAGTATTGCAGCAATCTCAGGAAAAGTCCACCACTTTTTCAGGACAGTGCCAGCTCTCCTGAATCCCCGTTATAAGTGACCAGTTGAGAGAAGCTAAGTCCAGGGATTTTTAACTATCCTTAGGTATTCCTATGGAACTGATAGAGGAGCCATGCAAATAGTTCCACCTATTTCGATATTGGTGAAAGAAATCTGAGACAGGATACAAGACTTTTTGACTGGGTTTGTTTCTACCTCCCCCTTCCCAGTGAAAACTCAGGATTCAAGATGTTAAACTTTGACAAACCAAGATGATTATTCTATGCTTATATTTTTATATATTCTTGGCTTGTAATACTGATGATGATATCCACTTCCTGACAGTCAAATGAGCATCTGGATCAGGCTAACAGAATGCTACAAATGTAGTTTCCTCATGTATTCACTTAGTCATTAGGAAATTTGAATGAAGCTGATAGTAAAGCCTTCATCATCAGTATAGAAATTCAGAATCTGGCTCACATTTGAATAATTGCTAGGGTCATTATACTGCCATTTAGCTTTGACCTAAATGATGTTTTTTGACAGAAGAGTTTAATCCTAGGCGCTATACTCCCAACATAGAAAATATTGCCAATGAGGCTACGGAGGGAGGAAAGTATTTTCTATTACCAAAACAACATAGTAAGTGTATTCAAAAGAAGGAGTTACACAGCAAAGAAGGAAAGGATTGAATTCAGATCCACAACAGTCCCCCACCCTGAAGCAGAAGGCAGGACTAAATGTTTCCTGTTTGAGGCAATATTATCTTTTGCTACAAAGTGAGATTCTCTGTCTTCATCTGATCATTCACATACACTACAGCACATGAGCTCTCAGAACATTCGATTAATTCAGAGGATGTAAAAAAAAAAATAAAAGGAAAATCTGTGCTGCTGGAGGCAGAGAGGAAGACAGAGAAATGGGGAAGACTGGTATCACACATTAATGCCTTATGTGCTTTAAAGCTTTCCTTAGTGTAACACACAACTTTTTTTTTTTTTAATCTCTACTTTGCAGTTTTCAATATCATTCTTTTATTTCATTTAGATTAAACTCATGTATGTGACAAATATGCTACCAACACTGTTCCATGCACCGCCAGTGTGTATAATCCTTTTTGATATAAATTATGTGCATGGTAGCTGAATGATGGAGCTGACTTTCTCTCTCTAGTCTGGTTTAGGTCAAGTGATATTCAGGTGATGACATTTCATACAAAACCAACAAAGTGTGAAAGGTTATAAGTGAAAGAGCTTCTCTTTTCCTGCAGCTTCCTTTTAGGCAAACAAATGAATAATGAATTCACTGTAACATCTTCATTTGATGTACTCAGCTGTAAAATATGTACATTCTCAAAGCTGAAGTTACTCAGACATCTAACACATGCTAATGAACCAACTTTGTTTTTTGCAGATGCAATTAAAATCCCCATCTTTATCTATGCAGGCCAGGTTAAAAAGGCTGATAACAAGCTGCAGGACTACAAAATGAAAAAAGCAAGCTAAACAGAAATGACGACATGGAGACAGAAAGTAGAAGAAGTTCCAGAGAGAAATGATCTTGCCTTGCAGCAGGAATAATCATCAGGCTGCCAAGACACAAAAGCAATCAAAAAGGAATCAAAGGAGAAAGAGAGACAAAATTAGCAAAGATCTTAATCTCTAATGGTATGTAACAGTGTTTGTATTTAATGTTTGAAATTTCCCTTGGTCTCCTGCTATAAGGATATGCTATATAAAAATGATAGCATGAGTAAAGATAACAATGAAATGTTGTCATTGTATTCTTTTCCAACACAGGGATTCTCACTACTGCCTCACCATCAATACCATTAATTACATTACATGTAGCTACTGTATTAGAAGAGGTAACTGGCATGCCATATTCACAGAGCTGCAGACTCTAAGATTGGAGTGGAATTAAGTACTGAGTAGCTGATCCCCAATGGTCTGCATTGAGTGCATAAAACTCACTTGACCTATGAACAGAGAATGAGATAGATTATGCACAAAAAAATACGCAAACATAAGCATTGAATGCACAGACAATCCATTGACTAGATTGTCTGGTCTCTCATTACACTCAGGGAATGCATTGCTGCTGAATGCTAATCACTTCTGGAGGTGATTACTATTCTGATCAGTGGTTTTTTAGGGTGCAGTCAGCAAAGGCTGGAGTTAGCTTGAAACTCTGCTAAGCAATTATTGGCGAGAATGAGTAGAATTTCATTTAGTTACATCAAAACATCTTTCTAGACTATGGCTGTCTGTGGCCTGCAGTATTAAGATAAACTCTCAAGTATTTAAGCACACCTTCTGCAATGGGCTGCGTATTAGGATCAGATTGTTTCTTAGCACTGATGCTATTTAGCAGCAACTTTATTATATAAGAAGTAATTAGTGAAGAAATGGGCAAAATTTCATTTGCTTAATTCCAAACAACTGTCAGTGTCTAGACTAGACAAGGCCTGTAGACTCAAGATAAAATGAAAATTTCTGATAAGATTACCCTCTGCTATGTACTAATTGCCATCAGGTATATACAGGCAGTGGTGTTAATGTAGGTTGAATTTGCATGCAGAATGTGATTCTATAATTAGAATGCTCTACAATGCTCAAACTGCAAAGAAACAACTCTATTTTTAAAAACTGATGAAATGGTAAAAGAATAAAAACATCTATGTACTTCACTAAGTCTCCAGAAAGGAACGACTGCTGCCAAGAGGTTCAACAAGTTATGTAATCATTGCAATTATATGCATCCAAGCATTTGAAAAAAAACATTAATGCCAACATAGTATAGCATTAGGCTTTATGGTGCATTCCCCCCTGTTCCAAGCTTACACACGCAAAAACATTTTCATTTTGAAATGGAACTCATCCATGACTTACTGAAATATCACTTATTATCCAGTTACCTCCATAAGATACTTTTAACTGATTTAAAAGCTTTTCTGGATAATAAATCTCCTCTCCTCCTCCCTAGTCTCTTTTTCTGAACCATTCTTGATCCTCTGTATTTATGGCATTTTTTAACATATGTTGCACAGCACTTTAGGTACCTTAGCTTTTTGCATTTCTAAGGGTCTTCCACCTGCAATCCTGCAGCCTGCCCCCACTTGCAGCTCCCTACCCTTTCATACAAGCTGCCAGGACAGCCTACACCAGAACACCTGTGGCAGTATTCTTCCCATGACACTCTTGTTTGTTACCCATCTCCTGGACGTATACTTGCGAACCCCGATACTTGTGAACCCTGTTGTTATGGCAGGTTCCCAAGGAAAGCAATTGTCACTGATGTTAGAATCACCCCTTCTTTCTTCCCTTTCCCGATTTCTACATTTGGTTGTAGCTTCTGGTTTACACTACAGGACTCATCAATGCATTTGCAGAAAGGTGAGCAATGAACCAGCCACATAGCACCTTCCCAGTCAACGCATGCTCCCAGCAATGACAAGAGCACTATAAGCAGGAATAACCCAGGAGGAGTTTGAGTATGCCTGGACATAAAATACAGAGTTATAGTGTGGAAAAGTATGATGGGGGAACCGCCTGCTCTAGTGGAGAGGGTGCTGAGGACTGGACACTCGCTTTTCTTTCTGGATGGCCAGTGAGAAGGGTTTTTCCCTTTTCCTTTTCTCACCATCTTTCTCTTCTTCTTTTATTTTTTTCTCTTTTCACTCCCCTCCCCTTCCAAACCATCCACCGTTAGAATCAATGAATGCCGTCAAATACGAACCTGCTAGTAAATCTTCATGCAACACACAGTGGACTGTTACCACTCTTTTCATCACTTTCCTTTTTATATAATAAAAAAGCATTGTTACTTTTGATTTCCCTTCACATACAACACATCTTTTATTATAACACTTCCATTATTAGAATAATATCCTTATGTTTTAGTCCTTCATTTTCCTAGTTTTACTTTGCCCTATAGAATGGAATTTGAAATATCACAGACAATTTGTATTCTAATACTGCATATGCTGTTTTGGAGTTTTTCTAGCATGCAGCATGTGCTAACAAAACAATTCCTATGTTTCTTAAGCAAATCCAAATCCTTACTGATCTTAACTGATATTTAAACTATAACACATAAAACTGAAAATTGAATGCTGTTGACATATAGTAACTTCTTTATAACAGGATGATACAATTGTATGCCTGATACTACAGAGGAAGTAACATTTTCAATCACCTCCTAATATATAACATATCCAGTACGATCGAAACAGAAAAAAATAGAAATCACTGTAGATCAAGAGATTTCAAGTTTTTCAGAGTATAAAAAACCTAAAAAATAAGTGGCATGACTTGGTAATTTCACAGTGGAATTAGCATTTCCTTTATAAGTGATTTTCATAGTATGGACACTTTCAACTGGTGGCAACCTAAAAAAATATCAGTTCTTGTGCATATACTGGAGGCAGACAAACATATGGGAAAGAAGCAAAAATCTTATGTAAGTGATTACTCTGGTACGATATTATTAACATTGTATATGTTGTCCTTACCCTGGACCTCTCCTCTAGTTTTGTCATCATGACGACTGTTGCACCCCGTTGCTCCCACATCATTCTCCAGAAGTCACCAAAGGTTTCTGGCAATGCTCCTTGTGTTGCTATATAAGCATTCTGCTTTCTGTATCCATCTATGTAGTTAGCATTGATATAGTCACTGCCTGGTATGCCTGCAAAGAGAGAAGCGTGAAAACAAGTGGCAGCATTTCTGTGCTGTCCTATTGCACAAGCGTGAAAAAAATTGTGTGACACAGCTGGATCAGTGAATCTTAGCTTGCTGCACACCCAGCAGTACACAGGTACTTGCAACTGAGTGTATGCCATTTGTGGAGCCGATGGGTATGATGGCCTCTCTGGGAATAACCATTCTTTTGAAACAAAGGACTCAGTCTGATAAGGAAGTACAAAAGAAGCCTGAAAATCTGTAGCAGATGGAGGGACCCGGTAGAGGAAACAGCAGCATTTAAAAGTTGGTCTGACACCGCCTGCAGTCGCCCACCAGCACGGCAGCCTCTGTGTGGGCCAGACACGGAAGCCTCTCCATCAGATGCCCTGAGTAAACTCCACTTAACACTCTCGTTGAGCTCATTGCATTTATTCTAAATATAGAAAAAGGGTTAATGTTGTCAGACTATTAATATTCCTGATACATTCATTTTTCCCATTAAATGGAAAGCTAATTATGAGCTTTATTTTAACAAAACACATTATGTAAATCAGGTTTAAGAAACAGTGGAATCTACTATATGGTGTGTGCAGGAAATAAAGGCCTCTGCAGGTCAGAATAAAAATTAAATGCATGAAAAGACGGGGGAATCCAAGACCAGTGGGCACATTGGACCTACACTGTCAATTGCTCAAGGCTCAGGTATTTTGGACAAGACTTACAGAGGGACTTAGGGTGTGTCTACCAGATGCATGCTCATGCTTTGAGCCACATGGAAGAGAGCCAGCTCCTAACTGGAATCTGTTTAACTGAGGGTATGCAGTGCCATGTCTGTACTGAGAGCTGGACCATAACACGCTGCCTGCCGAGGCTGAAGAGGAGTATTGGCTGCAGTGAAGATAATGCCTGGGCTAGTCTGGACTAATAAGGCAGCCATGCTCACAGAAAGGGGTGAATATGGACATACAGGTCTCAGTCCCATCCCTCCTGTGTTCAGCAGTGCAGTGTCCAGCTTTTAACTCTGACTATGTGCATGTTGGAAGACAAAGCATGGCAGGCATCAGTTTCTATGTCTCTGCTGGTTTTTTAACTGATGACTGGAGGAAGAATGTGAGATCTCAGTGCTGGTGGGTGGCAAAGCAATATTCCCCACATTACTGCGGTGTTGAACATGGAAGTGTTCCCCAGAAGAGTTAGCTGAAATACTGAGTATTATGTGCATAATAATAAAATGACACAAAAGGTTTGTTAAAGTGATTAACGGAAGTTACTTCTTTGAGCAGAAATAAATGATTTATGCTTACACAGCCAATCTGCTATGCCCAAGTCTACAACCCCAGCATACAGTGCAGGTTGCACGCACTGTTTCAAAAGACAAGTCAAGGTGGTACAAGCTCCCTGGCTTATTCTAAAGCTGTGATATTTTCACTCCACAAAGCAACAGGGTTGAATTTCTTTGGCTATGAAACACAATAAATTATCAAATATCTTTAAAGAAATGTTTCTCAAGCTTTCTGTCAGAAATTGAACGTCCAAATCTATCCTGACATATTATCTCCTGCTGGTGATCCCAAACCAGCAATTACTGGGGATGCACATTCCTGTCTTGCTTGTCAACCCAGTGTCATACATCTGAAATTATCTTCCAAAATAATTTGAATGGAAAGTAGAGGTACCACTTTAGTATTTTTGTTTGTTTGTTTGTTTTTAGCTACAATCTGAAGAGTTTCTCCACTCATGGTGGGTAAGCTTAGTGTTTCATTCTACTACTTGCTTAGTAATGAACAAACCCACTGATTAACTGTGTCACTAATTAAGACCCAATATAATCTTGAAATGATTGAGATTATAGGTTACTGCAGCTGTAGTCTGGCATAAAATTTTGTCTTTATGCCCCAGAAAGCTTAAGAGATTTTCTTGTTTCATATATTCAAATTATATTTAAACACAAATTTTAATTTAATTTGACTTTCTGTACAATTAAAAGGAAAAATCTGACAAAATATTCAGGGAAGGAAAGAGTTTATAACTTCAGGGGCACAAGAGAGGCAACAAATGGCAGTCCTCAGGCAAGACGCATGGATGGACACAAGAAGACTGGTTGACTATGATTAGAACTGATTGAAAGTCTCTTCTGGGAGAAAAATAAAACAAAATAAAAAACCTTTAAAACCTGCATATTCCCTACATGAAAGGCCGAAATTGGAGTTCAAAAGCTTCACTCTTGTAGACTTGAAACTTTTTTACATGACAGTTCTTATTGTGGATATTGGAATTAATGACTTAGAAAATACAACTGCTAGGCACAATGCTGTATTTTCCCCCTTTATCAAGATAATAAAACATTTTTGCACAAAACAGATGAGAAAGAAAAATGAAGCCAACAGGAGAAATCTACACCAACTGGGTATTATTACCAAAGGAACTGAGAAAGCTGGTAAGAAATGTTTTCTGCATAAATTAGAATTATATTATGATGCCTGGTATCATACTTTGAAGCATATGTTATAAATAAAAGCCTGAGGAAAAAATGAAAAAGAAAAACAACAATTTTTATAGTGGTTAAATGATCTTCTGGGAAAGCTGTCCTCTGGAGCTGATATTGCACAAACTCAGCGTGAAAATTAAGCAGGAGAAGTATTGCAAACTGTGCACCAAAGAATGATCTTTACAAATCTTAGCAGCCAACCCTAGTACCTGAATGTCTAAAATCATAAATACTTTACTAACTCACATTAAATTTATTGATAAAACATATTAAAAATAAATAACTTCTAAATTAATTAAATTCTAATTCTTCAGGTTAGAATGAAGAAAAGCTTCCAGATTATACCTCCCTTGATCACAGATGCAAGTAAGAAAGAATTAAGATTAACAATTACTGGTAACTGCAAAGAGGATTTTTTCCCAGCTAGGTTAAAGTGGAAATTTCCACTCTATTTCTCCACTTGGCTTTAATCAAGAGGACACAAAATATCCTGTATGTCCTTTAGCTGGAAAAAATCCTTTTATAAGGCAACTCAGCCTCACGGAGCATGAAAAGGATGTGGCTGGGACATGGACAGGAAAGTCCATTTACCATACGACTTGAGCAACTGTTAGTAACTTAACTAATGCAGTTTTGGGAATAACTAGGTGCTGCTCCAACATCTTGCACTGTGAGGAGATTTTCATCGAGGGTTTATCTCTAGTAAAATACAGTACTCTATCGGGTTATATCTCTACTAAGATCACGAGAACAATACGATTCACCATACTCAGCTCCATTGACTCTCTCACTCGCAATACCCATTAGGGGTTTTCTTTGTTCTCCATCCATTCTCATAGTCCCTTCAAGTATCATACCCATTTCTCACAGAGCCTCTTTTCATCACTGTTTTCATGCATGACCTCAGTTTCACATCTTGTTCCAAAATCCTTTTGTAGTCTGTAATACCACTTCCCTACTCTCACTTTCTATCTCACACTTTGCCACACCAGTTTTTGCTTCATCAGCTGTGTCCCCACAACGCCTAAACTTAAAGCCCTCTAGGGAAGGTGCCTTATCATAAGAGGCCTAATGAGGTGTGTGCAGTTTAAAAATAACATATACAAAGCCTGAATATCTGTTAATATTTACACTGACCAAGCAGAAACAATTATCAAAGGCAAATAAATCTAAATATTAAAATGTCACTTTCTGCCATGACTTCTCTGGCCATAACCTCATTCTGAGCTGAGAAAGTTGAACAATTCTCTGTCAAGTCTAATAGTGCAAAACCAATCAAATGACAACTAGTTTGACTGCAGTAAAACAAAATCCTGCGTACCTTTGTTAGCTGTCATAGCTTGAAGGCAACATACCCACAAGCACAGCAGCAATTGCCATCATTACTTATATTTGGGTTTAATAGTTGAGAGAGGTCAGTTATTCTGTAAACACCTGGGTCAAGAAGGGGACAAAGCAACCAAATTCTGCCATCAGTAATACTGATATGAACCTTAACTAAGTCTATTGGCATCAGGGGGGTTTACTGCAGATTTAAGACGGCCTATCTGAAGTGTAAATTTAGGGTAATCCATGCAGTATAACCTGACTTTCACAAGTTTCATGGAGACAGAGACACAGTTTCTGCACAAAAAGTCATCTAAAGATTAAGCTTCCAGATCGTTATTCTACCATAACTATTTTCTAGTAGCCTTTTCAACTATGTGATGAATGACCAGAGTCTGCAATCGCCTTACTCTGCCAGACAGGAATCAAGCACAATGGGGGAAGAATCAGATGAGTAGTTGAGCATAAAAGACATCCCATTTTCAAATATCTCAAGAGAACAAAGTAGTCCAGATTTTACAGCGTAAGAGTGAACGAGCAATGAAACAAAATTAGACAATGCCACAATTAAAGTGCAAAAGATTTAAAAAAATGAGATCTATAGCTTCCAATTTATGCTGAGATTGTACTCATGAACTGAGATGACAGTACAGCTTGCCGCAGCATAGACTCAGATCCACAAGGCTAATAACGTAGACCTCAGAATTATTCACTTGATTTCCTGAAGACAGTTATAATCTTAAATAGCTTTAATTAGACTTCAAGTTTTATTCACAAACTGAAATCAAATCATGAAATTATTTCAAGCCTTTACAAAGGCTAAGTACTGAACAGCCTTTCTATTTAAAACAAATTAAACCATAAACCTTTGTTTCTGTGCTGCTTTCCTAAGAGATGTGCTGTTAGTCATAAAAAGAGTGTGAAGTAATAAGATTAAATTCTGTCATGCTTGTAAACAAGTTGGGAAAATGCAATGATGAATTCAAAATGCTGATGAAGCAGTCCTATTGGTTTAAATCAATGACTGATATTTTGAACTATATCAGAGCAAAAATTAACTAAGGCAGCTGCTAGATGCCAGTAATAACTGTTTATTTGGAAGGTTCTGTAACATAAAATCTATATAGTTAAGGAAATTATCAAATTCAAACGGTCTAAGCACAAGACCAATGAAAACGTTGTAGTAATGA